ATTGAACCACAATACTGATAAGTGATTAATAAAAGTTAAAAGACCAAAGAGGTCACCTTAATACCAAAAAAAAAAAATTAAATAAATAAATAAATCTTAGAACAGACTACTTAAATAGATAATTAAAAGTTATATATATAACTAGTTATATTTTTATTTTTTAAAAAAAATAGTTGTAATATTAACTTTAATTTGCTAATAAAATACTATTTATTATTAAGTATAAGCTTTTTAAAAAAAAATTATTTGTAAAATTGTTTAATACTATGCTATACAAAGTTGTAATTCAATAATTATAACTATATATAAACATTATATATAAATTAATAAACTTTTTTTATTTAATTTTTCTTGCAATATAATTAGCTAATATATATATAACTTGTTAAAATTAATAAGATACTTAGTTGTTGTTTTTTATATAACAATATTAAAATTATTTTATATTTGAAATATTTTTTATTATAAAATAACATTTATATAATTTATATAATTATTAAATTTATTTATAATTTTATAATAGGATGTGATAACCTAGTAAAGTGAATAGATTGTCAACCTCTAAATAATAAATTTAATATTCAATTTTTATAAACAATAAATTTTGAAAATTATATCTGTATTATGATAATTGTTTTTTATTAATTAGTTGAATTTAAATATCTGTAATCTTAGATATATCAAATTAGGTTCTATCTAATATTAAAAGTTTAAGGCATCTATGCAAAATATAATGTTATATATATACAAAGAAATATAAAAAACTGGTATTGCATAAAACTTTAGTGCAAATTTGTGATAAGACCAGTGGGTACAAAAAACTAAAAACTAAGAAAACAGAAGCCTACTTAAAAATCCCAAGTAAAAAGAAAGCACAATATAAAAAAATTAAATATATAGTTAGTTGTATACTTATTTGTAATAGTTCAATATAGATATATATTTATATGAACATGTTTTAACAAAAGTATTAATAAAGTTAAAAGACCAAAAAGGTTATCTTAATACCAAAAAATAATAATAATAATTTTATAATAATTATCTAATTAAAATATATATATATTATTTTTAATATTAAAATAAGTACTTGTAATTTAGAATTTTATTAATAGTAAATTTAGCTAATAGTTGCATAATAACTACAAAAAGCAATTATAAAAAAAGTGTATAGCTAATTATTTGCACAAATTTAGTTATTATTTAATTTAAATAATCTGCTTAAAGGTTCTATACTAGCTGCTATATTTTGTAAATTCTTTATTTAAACATTCTATTTTTTATATCTATCTGCTTACTTATACTTATTAATAATTCTGATTAATATCAATAAAAAATATATTATAGTTACTAAGTTTTTAAGACAGTTCACTCATATAAAGAACTTTTAATCTTGTACTAAATCTTTCAGAATCTTTTATATTTTATTTTTATAACTAATCTAGTAATATTATAACTAAAAAGATGTGATGACCTAGTAAAATAATCAAGTTGTCAACCTCTAAATAGTAGGTCCAGAGTTCAAATTTTAGTGTTAATGAAAAATTTAAAAATTCTCTTTGTGTTATAGTTAACTATCTTTTGCAATTAGTTGTGATAAAATACCTGTTATCTGTGTCACACTAGCATGATTGGCAGGTCACATAGCATTTGTATAACAGTTACTAATATTGTCCTTTGAGACAAAGTCTGTGGTTACATAAAAGAATGCAAACTGGTACCAGGTGGTGCAAATTTACAATAAGTCCTTATAACTATATAAATCATAAGAACCAAAAAAAGGAAGATAGAAGCCTACTTGAAAGATCTGAGTAGAAAGATAACCTGAACTTTTGATGGTGCTACTGTAAAGACTAAACTTATGAAATGAAGCTAGAACTTGTGAAACCAGACAAATATGTTAGTCTTTAAGAAGGAACCAGATAAACCAACCAAATTGCTGGAATTTTCAGGTTCCAAAAGAAAAGAGTACATGCTAGCAAACATGTAAACCAGAAGTGTATAGTTTTAATCTACCTTTCTGAACTATCTGAAATGGCAGCTTGATAGAATTTGAATTAAATATCAAAATAGTAAGGATATGTTGTAAAGTCAGTATTAGGGTTGAAGTAAACTTTACAAGGACATAACAGTTTAATAATACATCCTGACTGTCAGTATTGGTCTTAGCTATAGTGATCTAAGTCAGTTATAAGAATAGGATATAGAAGATTCTAAAAGGTTTAGTACAAGATTAAAGGTTTCAAAAAACTGTTTTAAAGACTTAGTAGCCATGGCATATTTTCACTAGCATCAACCAAGGTCATTGGTAGTTAGAGATAGGTAGATAGATATGGAAACTAAAGTGGTTAAATAGGAAATCTACAAGCAGATTTCAGATATGGCAGCTAGTGTAGAACCTTTGAACAGACTACTTAAATTAGACAATAACTACTGTAAATGTGCATATACAAGACCCAGATCTGTTACATTCCACCAATTTTAAAATCTTTAATAGACTCAGGGGTCTGTTGTACAGACATTGATCTAATAATTAAGGGAGGTTTTTATGCAAGAGAGGTTTTTATATAGTAGGGTCTAATAATACAATGCAATGCTTGATGCTAATAACTTGGATTTTGATCGTTTGTTAGAAGTTGTGTAAAGGAACAATTAGTTGATAATATGCATATATTGACTAGATCAGTAAGCTTTTATACATATGAAGTCTGTGCGTAATATTATTGCATTAAAATTTGTAGTTCAATAAATAATATATAAATAAAATAAGGAGATAGTAAGTTAGAGAGACCTTTTTCTTTCACATAATTAAATTAATAAACCAAATTTTTAATCGTAAAATAGTGTGCTATAAAAAGTAAAAGGAAGGTTCATTGGTGTTAAAATGGAGGGTAACATTGAAGCCAAATAGCAAATGAAAGAAAGTCTTATCCTAATGCTATGTGGTTGTGAAAAGGCTCAAAGTGTGCCAAAACTACCAGTGAGTTGGACTATAAAGAGAAAAAACCCTATTGGCTAACCAATATGACAGTACTTGACATGGCATTGCAAATAAGGATAATTCGATGATACTGAATAAACTTGTGCAAATAATCCACCAGATGCAAAGGCAAATAAATAATAATCAGATTTTTTTATAGTAATATTATTATATTATTCGTAAAGTGCTACATGTTTACTGAATTTATATTTATTAATTCAATAATACTCTATTTTAAATTTATTAAAAAAAAAAGTAACTTCGAACTCAATCATTTATAGAATGTTGGAATATATCAAACCTAAAGCACTTTACTATTTCTAAATATAAATATACCAATAATAAAAAATCTGATATCTATAGCCTTGAAGTAGTTTTTAAAAAATGCCAAGCAGAAGATCATTATTCCAATTCTTTGATCCAATTATAAAAAAAAAAAGAGTCTATAAAAGGTACACTGTTTTAATATATTAAACTTAACAAGTATTTAGGATAGTGATCCTGTTTTCTATCATCTATCATTTAATATTTAATTTTCTACTCACTTTATTATATCACATTTGAATACAAAGAGATAATACTGAAGTAAGAATAAAATTTGTTCTTGATAATAAATGCTATATGAAAAGACAAAAATCAAATCGAGTAAGAAAAATTCATCATATGTGCTATGTGCCTTATTGCAAAATAAGAATAATTTAAAATGATACTTTTATAAAAATATAAATATTTCACAGTTTTTTTAGTACCTCAACTACGAAGGAGCAGGATTCCAAAATATCATTCTCATAAAAAATCATCTGCAGCATAAAGAATCATAATAAATTAAAATAAAATAATGATAAAAATCTTGCTAATGAATATTAGATCAACTTCTATTTTTCGTAAATTTTATAAGATTAGCAATTTATTTAATTGCCTAAAACATGTTTGTGGTGCTACACACATTACCTACGGTATAATTAACTGATTAATATAATTAATATGTGCAAATTTTATTTTATAGTTTCATTAATATAAAAAAATTTTCATGTTTTTACATTCCTGTCACATCTTGGATGAAACAAGTTTTTTTAGCTAGAAGGTAATAAAAATTTTATTTTAGTTAGATAATTTTATACAAATATATTTAATCTATATCTTTTTAGTAATAATGATGAGACAAAATAAAGCAAAAACAAAGCAATCAAACATTACCAAGAAAAAAAAAAGAAGCTAGAATGCATATAAGAAATTGGCAATTGTTACTTATATTGAAAAAAATCCTATAGTTAGCAAGAAAAGTGCTGCATCACAATTTAATATAACAACAAAGCAAATACATGAGTGGATTCGACTGAAAAGTAAATTAAAAAATGCTCTACCTTATATCAAACAGTTGAATATTGGTACACGTTCAAAGTATCTGCTTTTAGAAGTTGATCTCACAAATTGGATTAAGGGTTTATGTTCACAACATAAAATAGTTTCTCAACAAATGGTTAGAACTAAGACCAAATAATTGGCAAATTAATCATGTTTTGTTTCACTTTATCCAACAATCAATGAATGTAAATGAAATGAAAAATGAGTAAAAGGCTTTATGCATCATAATAAATTAAACAATTGGCACTGTACCACTGTATCACAAAAATTGCCAGAGAATCTAGAACCTCAGAGAGAAGAATTTTTAAGCTATGTACTGTATTATCGTATGCATTATAATTATTCTCTTTCTCTTATCAGAAACATGGATGAGACACTACTGGCATTTGACATTCTTAGCAATTATATAGTCGAAGAAACAGGTGCTTGTACTGTCACAATCCATACAACTGGATACAAGAAGTCCAATTTTACAGTTGTTCTAAGTTGTTTAGCTGATAGAACCAAATTGCCTCTCATGGTAATTTTTAAACTAGTAAATGTACCTTGGCAAAGATTTCTACAGAGAATTATAATACAAACTAATCCAGAAGGGTATATGAATACTGATGAAATGATTTTCTGGATAGAAAACATTTGAAACCACCATGCTCCTTTATCTGTTAATCCTCATTCTTTACTTATTCTAGATTCATTCCATGGTCATATAACCTATCTAGTTAAGATCCAATTTGATGAAAAAAATACTAACATGGCAGTTATTCCAGGCAGGTTTACTAGCAAATTGCAGCCATTAGATGTATATATTAATAAGTTATTTAAAGAAAAGGTAAGCTAATATTTGTATTAAGTCATAAAAAAATTAACAGTTTCTTTTATTTTTATTATCCAATAATTACACTAATTTATATAATTTAATTATAAATAATTAAAATATCGCAATTTTTATTTCGAATAGATGGGTGAAGAAATCAAAAAACTAACATCTAAAGGTCATATTCAGTGCCCTGCTTACAATTTGGTAGCTGAGTGAATAAAAAGAGCATGAGATCAAGTTGATCCTGCCCTTATCAAACGATTATTTAAATGTTGCAGCATTTTCAATTCTCGAGATGGTTTCAAAGATGATGTAATCTTCCATTATGATTAGGTAAAAAACCAGAAGCTCGAAGTAAAGAGAATAATTTTATATATACCTATGTAAATAATTTAAATAATAATAAGAGCATTGTTGACTTAACTTATAATGATAATGATGTCAATAATGATGGTGATAATGGTAATAGCAATGATAGTGACAATGGTGAAAGCAGTGATGATAATGATGGTGGCAGTGAGAACTTGTATGAGAATGAAGATCGAGTAAATAATAGTCTAGATGAAAACAGAGATGAAAACAGTTAAAATGAAGCTGAGAATGAAAATTATTGAAATGAAGCTGAGTACAAAAGCAGTTGGAATAAAGATGAGGAAAATGATAGGAATGAAGGTAAAGAAAATGGTCGGAATGAAGATTGAAATAAAGATTAGAATGATGATTGGAATAACAGTTAGAATGATAATTAGAATAATAATTGGAATGACATTGGAACAATGATTTGAATGAAGGTTGGAATAAAATGGAAATGAAGATGAGAATGAAGATGGAAATAAAAATAACACTGATAATCCAAGTTATTCAGACAAGTTGAATGAAGAAGATACATATTACGAAAATAAAGCAGTTGAGTATACTAATTTGTGAGATTAAAAATGCTCAGAATCATAATGCAAAGAAAATAATTGCAGTAAAATATAAAAGTTCACTTGCAAATTTAAACAAATTGTTAGAAATACACTAAATAACATATAGAGACAATTTATTGCATGATGGAAATATGATTATTAAATGATCAGAGTAATAGTATGTATAAATTTATTTAAAGTATAATAAATAATTAAAATTGAATTGCAATTTGAGTAGATTTGGTCTTGAGTTTAAATCTGATTTTCTTCAGATTCAGATTAAATTCAAATATAAAACTGAAAATATATCAAATCCAACAATAATCTAAGACAAAAGCATTCAGCCACTTATAAAATTGTTGTAATTATAAATGTTATTCCTTGGGTACTATGTAACAACCTGTGCTTTTTTGATAAAGTTATTTTCATTGGTCTATATGAAAATCACATGATTTTCATATAGACTGATGTTGAATAAACTTGTTATAATGATAAATTGTCATGCACTAAAACTTTATTCAGATTCAGATTTTTTAAATTGTCATATACTGGGAATAACCTTATATAGGTCGGGTCTTTTATTCACTAGAAAACTTTTTTTTTTTAAATAATCAAAATTCTTTCTAATGGTAAAATATTTATTTATTTATTTATTCAAATAAAAAAATGCTTTAATTAAAAATTCAATATAATCATTAATTTATTGTTATAGTTTTTTTTGTGGTATCGATAATAGTTTATGTGATGTTAGATGTGATGACCCCAGTGATGTTTCACAAAATAGTTTCTAGCGATGGTTGTTGATTTTGTGTTTTATTTTTTATTTTTATTTTTATTTATTTGACACTAAAATGAAGTCGTAAGGATGTGGCGACCTAGTGAAGTAGTCAGGTTGTCAACCCTCCAAGTGGTAGGTTGGGTGTTCAAATCCTATCGATGCCAAAAATTTAGATAATCACCTATATAATATTTGTATTATAGCAACTGTTACTAATGATTGGGTTAGGATACTTGTAATGGCAGTTACACCAGCATGACTGGTAGATTATAGGGCATTTGTGTAACAGGTCACATGACATTGTCCTTTGGGACAAGGTTGTAGTTACATGAAGGAATGCAAACTGGCAAT